TATCTTGAATTAATTGCTGAATTTACACTTATGTGGCACCTGCTGGCCAGTCTCTGCATACCCGGCTCAATGTGATTGTGACCCTACACATGTGAGTGTAAATGTATGTTCGTGTGATTGTGGGCGTATGTGTGTGTGTATGTAGGTGTGTGTATGTAGGTGTATGTATGCTTGCATGAGTAGGTTTAATTTTGTGTGCATGTATGTCTATGTATGTATGTATGTATGTATGTATGTGTGTATTTTGTGTGTATGTAAGTATTTATGTATATGTGTCGTTGTATTTATGGAGATGTGTATGTATGTGTGCATGTGAGTGTATGCATATATGTATGTATGTATGCATGTAGGTGTATGTGTGCATAGTTAGTTAGTCGTTACGGCTCAGGCATCACACCAAACTGTGTGTATGCATTATTCTATAATGTTTATTTTTTTAAGTTAAAAAAATAACGTTCATTATTGATGACAGGCATTGGTACTCTGAAATATGAGTGCTTAGAAGAGCTGAATGTCGTTCGTTCTCCTCTCATCGCCTAATGTTCTTCAAGATACAAACCTCTCTGATTGTGTTTTCTGCCTGAGCCATCCATGACTTCCCTCTTATCAGCCGCTGACACCAGAGCTTCGTGCAAAGGGTGGTCTGTGTCTGCAGCTACCTTGAGATATGACTTCGCTTGCAGCACCTTGTGCTTACCCGCTACTGCCAGCATATCAAGGATGTATCGCATACACACCACGGGGGTGTCTCTGGTGCTACCCAGAATGACCCGCATAGCTGCGTTCTGTATACGTCCTAGTTTATCCATCTGACTCTTCGAGACGGTAAGCAGTCCCAGGCCATAATCAACTACTGACAGAATAAGGTGCAGATACAGTGTGAAAAGCATTATCTGCTCTATGTCCATTGCAGCCATAGTCGTAAGTGCACTGAGTCCTTTTTGGCATCTTTTCACGACACTCTCCACATGGTCCTTAAAGGACAGGCTCCTGTCAAATGTGATTTCAAGATACTTCAGTTGGCTATCTCTGTTGACGTTTCTACAATCTATCGCGAGACTTGGGACATCAGCTCTAGCGATCCTGTCGTCTAGAGAACACCACAAAACAGACTACTTTTTCGGGTGGACGACAGCCCTAATTTCTGCACACCACTCAGTCACTTTGTTTACTGTCGCCTGTAGCTTCCCGGCTGATTGCTCTCTCTCTTCCCCCTGCCTATATGCAAGTATATTATCTGCAAAAGTCATTTTTATTTCAAGTCCTGGTGCTTCTAGGCTTGCAATCTTGTGCGTATACACTTTAAAGAGCACAGTCGAGATGGCGGATCCCTGTAACAGTCCTAAGGCTAAACTGCATGGTTCTGAGGTCCATGAGCCCAGTCGGAAAGCAACCCGACGCCAATACAGGACAGCTGCAACCCAGTTCAGTAGCCAGGGACTGGCCTCCAGGGTTCTTCTGTGCAGGGGCCATAAAATATGATCAATAATTTGGAATAACTGTGTTAAGTAACTGCAAAAACTGAATTTCACCATATAGGCAACGCCTAGTAAGACCACGAAATACAAGATCTATCTTGAATCAAGCAAATTAAATAACCATCACAGAGGTTTTCTTGTTTGTTTTGTCTATTTATCGCTCAAACAGTAGAAACCATTATTATTTAACCTATTTTGTTTCTGACTTTACAACGAGCTGTTGTTGAGATTTTCGTGTTTTGTTTTAACTGATAGTAAGTTCCGCTGGCTAATGTGAGTGTTTTCCTACTAGGTACTTTAAAATGTGTAGTATCATCTACTGCCAAATCTTGCTTCTGCTTTTCAGTCAGGTGGTGTGTGTGTGTGTTGTGTGTCAGTGTGTGTGTGTGTGTGTGTTCGTGCGTGTAACGTTGCAGGGATACTCTTGTGGCCTGGGGTTCTAGTCTCATTATATTTTATATCAGTCGTACTTGCTTTCCATGTACGTAACCAAACTACGATTCATCTCCTAACAAACCTCTCGTTTCATCATTTATTAATGGTTTATTTCTGGTTTCGTTGCGGCATCTCAACACAGACGTTTTTCCATTATCACACAATGAATATTTAATAGTTATAAAATACTCTTTTTTATTTATAAACCAAATGCCGTTCCGTGATATTTATGCTTGTGCAAATTAAAATCCTGCTCTCCTTTCACAAGAACATCATGTTTCTAATACATATTTCTGAAAAAATACAAAATGTTTCCAATGGGAGAAACACACACAGACACACCCATATATATATATATATATATATATATATATATATATATATATATATATATATATATATATATATATATATATAAAAATCCAGTTAGAGGACACACTCTCCTACATAATCAATCCTCCGTCTCCTTCTCTCTATTTGTGTGTGTAAGTGTGTGTCTGTGTGACTGTGTAGGTGTGTGTCCATTTGTGTCTATCTATCCACCCATCGATCCACCCATCCATCCATCCATGAATCCCTCCGTCTGTAAATCCATCAATTCTTCTGCCTTTTGGTACGCCAGTCGGTCATTCTGTCTGTCCTTTTGTCTGTCTGTCTGTACCTCAGTCTGTTGTCTGTCAATATGTGTGTACTTAATAATACTTGGTTGTTTGCAGTACACTGTTTTGTCCAGCCTTATTCTTATATGGACACTTTAAAACTAATTCATTTATAAGTTAAGCAACAAATTATTCCGGCGTGATGTTGACCACATCACCCATCTCGTGCCGATTGGTCTATAAAATATAGGCGTGGAAGAGGGTCCTTCACTTTACTAACAAATTATTCAGTGTAGAATGGGTTAAATCAGCGCTTGCTTGAAACTGATAAGATTAGCAACAATCTTTCATTTGCGTTCAAGTAGAATTATTTATAAAAATAATGACACATGTCTCATTTACTCGAGGTTATAGTACAAGGTAGCTACTGCAACGTTCTAGTCAGAATAAGACTTAGTCTTAGTCTAGGTTTGACTTCACTGCAGTCGGGTTTCCTTATACATGCTCTGTTCCTGTGTCAGTGCAAATCAGATCAAATTTTCCTCACGGTTGTACTCCCAGAAAATCCAAAATTATATGCATGCAGTAAATGCAAATTTTAGTTGATGGATGAATCAAAGCCAACAGTCGCCCCAGAAATGCAGTTTGTCATTGACGAAAGTAGTGTGGACACCATAGGCTGGTTACTATACACACGTAGACTTACCACATAAGGTATTTCACCAGGTCCACACGTGAACGGGCTACTGGTCATACTGTATACCAAGACACAAACGCTCAGTAAATGTAACATTGCACAGAAATACCGAACGCAGCTCACAGTTCCGTACCTAGCACTAAACTCAGTAGCCCAGGCAGCGAAACTAATTCATAATAGTATTGGGGATTGGGGGGGGGATGAAAATTGTAGGTGTATACGATACCCTGCGGTCTATAGACATTCATATGTGACTTGTATGGACACTCACACATCTGATGCTGGGCATTCATGTATGGACACTCACACATCTGATTTTGGGCAGTCTTGTATGGACACTCACACATCTGATGTTGGACAGGCATGTATTGATATATACACATCTGATGTTGGACAGGCATGTATTGACATATACACATCTGATGTTGGACAGTCTTGAATAAGAACACATATCTGATGCTAGGCATTCATGTATGGACACACACATCTGATGTAGGACAGTCATGTATGGACACTCACACATCTGATTTTGGGCAGTCTTGTATGGACACTCACACATCTGATGTTGGACAGTCATGTATGGACACTCACACAACTGATGTTGGACAGTCATGTATGGACACTCACACATCAGATGTTGGACAGTCATGTATGGACACTCAGACATCTGATGTTGGACAGTCATGTATGGACACTCACACATCTGATGTTGGACAGTCATTTATGGACACTCACACATCTGATGTTGGACAGTCATGTATGGACACTAACACATCTGATGTTGAACAGTCATGTATGGACACTCACACATCAGATGTTGGACAGTCATGTATGGACACTCAAACATCTGATGTTGGACAGTCATGTATGGACACTCCCACATCTAATGTTGGACAGTCATGTATGGACACTCACACATCTGATGTAGGACAGTCTTGTATGGACACTCACACATCTGATGCTGGGCAGTCTTGTATGGACACTCCCACATTTGATGTTGGACAGTCATGTATGGACACTCCCACATCTGATGTTGGACAGTCATGTATGGACACTCCCACATCTGATGTTGGACAGTCATGTATGGACACTCACACATCTGATGAAGGACAGTCATGTATGGACACTCACACATCTGATGTTGAACAGTCATGTATGGACACTCAGACATCTGATGTTGGACAGTCATGTATGGACACTCCCACATCTGATGTTGGACAGTCATGTATGGAAACTCACACATCTGATGTTGGACAGTCTTGTATGGAAACACACATCTGATGTAGGACAGTCATGTATGGACACTCACACATCTGATGTTGGACAGTCGTATATGGACACTCACACATCTGATGTTGGACAGTCATATATGGACACTCACACATCTGATGTTGGACAGTCTTGTATGGACACTCACACATCTGATGCTGGGCAGGCATGTATGGACACTCACACATCTGATGTTGGGCAGTCTTGTATGGACACTCACACATTTGATGTTGGGCAGTCTTGTATGGACACTCACACATTTGATGTTGGGCAGTCTTGTATGGACACTCACACATTTGATGTTGGGCAGTCTTGTATGGACACTCACCCATCTGAAGTTGGACAGGCATGTATTGACATATACACATCTGATGTTGGACAGTCTTGAATAAGAACACACATCTGATGCTGGGCATTCATGTATGGACACACACATCTGATGTAGGACAGTCATGTATGGACACTCACACATCTGATTTTGGGCAGTCTTGTATGGACACTCACACATCTGATGTTGGACAGGCATGTATTGACATATACACATCTGATGTTGGACAGGCATGTATTGACACTCACACATCTGATGCTGGGCAGTCTTGTATGGACACTCACACATTTGATGTTGGGCAGTCTCGTGTGAGCACTCAAACATCTGATGTTGGACAGTCATTTATGGACACTCCCACATCTGATGTTGCACAGTCCTGTATGGACACTCACACATCTAAAGATGGACAGTCATGTATGGACACTCACACATCTGATGTTGGACAGTCATGTATGGACACTCACACATCTGATGTTGGACAGTCATGTATGGACACTCACACATCTGATGTAGGACAGCCATGTATCGACACTCACACATCTGATTTTGGACAGTCTTGTATGGACACTCACACATCAAATTTTGGACTGTTGTATGGACAGTCACACGCGCAATGTTGGACAGTCTTGTATGGACACTCACATTCGCATTATTGGACAGTCCTGTATGGACACTCACACATGTGAGAAGCCAAGATTGTGATGATACGGGAACCATAATGCTGGTGAAACTGATGTATAGGAACACTCACAAATGTCATGTTGGACACTCTGGTATGTCTGTTTGAACCTAGACTGCAGACACGTGTCTAGCACATCTACTACCTCAATCATAGAATACCCGGCGATAGCTTTCTTTTTTATTGTTAGGTTATGGTGATGCAATCGCGCTTAGTAATGCTAGGGTGCCGGTTTCGATCCCAACTAGTGACTTTTTGACAACAAAAATTTTACGGTGGTTTCGACAGTGGTACAGAAAACTGATCGTCAACGTAAAATTGCCTAGAAAAATCGCTAAAGCACCCAAAAAAAAAAATTGCTGTGGTTTCAGTCTTTTCCTGATCTTGAAACGTCCTAAAAGGATATGCAACTATATATATATATATATATATATATATATATATATATATATATATATATATATATATATATATATATATATATATATATATATATATATATATATATATATATATATATATATATATATATATATATATATATATATATATATATATATACATATATATATAAGCTTATATACCTCATACTTGAGTATGTTTTTCTGTGTGCGCGCTCGCGTGCGAGCGTGTTTGTGTGTGTGTGTGTGTGTTTATGTTTTGGGAAAATTGTTGTTTGAATTTTTCCCCTTATGTCTTTTCTGTTAGTAGAATTTTCTTGTTTTCTGCAATGAACCAGTACATGGCAACATCCGGATATTTTCTTGGCCTTTATTTAATTTGTTGAAGTCCTACACTGTAAAATCTTTTTCACAAATACAGGTGTTTATTATTTTTGTTGTCCTTTTCGGATTCAGTGAGCTCTATAGTTTCTTGGCCAACATTGCTAGTTTTTTGAGTTAGGATTACAGACGAACTGAATAATTTAATGTGCTTCTGGATACTTGAAGCAAAGATTGAACATTTTGAAGGAATTATCATTTGGAGAGTATATGAACAAACAAGGGTATCAACAACATAAGACAGATACGAAAATTAAGGGACCACAAGACAAATGACTTACGAAATAAGGGACCCAAGAGAAATACTGAGATGAGCAAAGGGTGTATGTAAGTCAGAAAACGGAACAGACTATGAAATTATATTACTGATTATAATAAGATGAGGATAATTATATTTGTATACATGTGTGAGAAAAGAAACAGGAGTTGAAAGGGTGAGAGTAGGGAACGAGAAGGTCGAGGAGATGGTGATGGAGGTGAAGAAAAAGAGGTAGAATAAATAGCTTTAAAAAAAAAGAGTACACAAAGAATACATGTTAAAGTGGCACACAACGGTTAGAGAAAGACATTGTTGTCATTATTATTACTATTACAATTATTATTATTAATATATTTTTTGTGCAGTGGTTTGAAGAAAATGAAAGAAGACAAGATTGTGATGATACGGGAACGATAATGCTGGTGAAACTGATGTATTGCAGACGTGCAAGCGAAACTTGAAGGATCTTCTCAATTGTCTCTGAAACTCACTTCTAATCTATCATCATTGTAACGTCTACCCATGCAGTCTATCTGGCCGACAGATGCATTTCTGTGTTTAATTTAACACAGTCAAGATGCATCTTTTAATTGATTTCAGAAATGCAATAATTCTTCGGCCAAATTTCGTCCTCTGCTTTATTGCTGTTGGTAAAAATATTCTCACTTGTTTTGCACGTCTAATTTAGCCATCACCGAGACACAGGAGACCCATACTTCTTGTATATATAATCGTCAGACAAAATGCCATTACCACTCTGCCTCTTTAGTTTACAGGACATTTACAAATTATAGGTTGGATCGAAATGGTAGCACAGGTCAAAGCATGTATCTCTATAATTTTGAATCCATTTTCACCGGCCTGCAGGCCATTGTGCTTGTCACTACGCTATAGTCTTTTCCAAAAAGTTACACCCCCAAACTATAATAAATATCTCAAAATCTGTCTGTATGGATTGCACTTTTTGCACATGGTCTTTGCTTTCCTATGATTGCTTCCTTTGTCTGATTGCACACGTTCTGTTTTTTTTTTTTAAGTGGATAATTTCTTAGATTATTGTCTCACTAATAATTTGTTAACCCTTAAAAAAAAAAAAAAAAAAAAAAAAAAAAAAAAAACACATTATTAACTAACATAAATGGTTTTTTTTAAAAACTAAGAGTGAAGATTATTTCAAAAATTTTCACTTGTGCAGCGATGCGTAGTGGATTTTTGGGATAACCTGTTCCGTAAATGATGAACAAACTTTGCGTTTATGTCACGAAGAGTTAATGTAGAAGACTGAACACCTGAGAGTGAAAC